TAACGGCAAGAAGACAGCAGTCATAGTGGCGGGAGCAACGTAACAGCGAAAGCAGTTGTATCACTGACCAAAGATGGCAGCAGAGTCATTTGTCGACCGACTCTGTCAGACACTCTGGTACCAGCTGAACGCAGCCAGAAGACGTTTGGCCTGTGGTGGAAAACTTAATGATAAATTAACTTTGATCGAAGCAGGATAATCATGGAAGCCTTAGGACAATAGGATTACAATACCTTACAATAGGACATAACAGTTTATGAAAAACGATACCGAATCAATGTAAGGTGTGATGCTAATGCTGCCGCCATTGCTGCTGTTATAGCGTGCTATAGAGTCATAATCTCACCGGTCATGCAAAAAATGTAGAACTATAAAAGCAAAAACCGTGTCTTGCGATAATTTGTCGGAAATAATGTCGTAAAGAAGAGAGTAACCCGTTAGAAACCTCTAGACAGATTTATTGATAAAGTGTTGTTCTCTATTTGCAACGCAGAGCGGAGGAATTAATCAGAAACTTCGTTTATTCCAGTGCTGGCGGTGTCATTTGGGCTATTTTTTTTTCTTATTTTGGTAGGCCAGTGAAACGCATTATTAATAACCGGTGGTAAACAAATACGTAAAATACGTATTCGTATTACGTATTCAAAAATAGACGTTGTAGTGCGATATAGGTTTACTTTGAGTTGCCAGTGTCGATTTTAAATGGGAACAATAAGAGTTTCCGCTATTATTGTTGAAATAATAACTATGATTTCTACGCCAGCATGTGACCTACGGAACGAAACAAATATTCTTCGATGGTTTTTGTTTTCAGCGGGACAGCTTTAAAAGTCTTCAGACATTTATCAAAGGTCTTCGCTTCCTTAGTAAGTGTACAGTCTTGCCATTTTTACCGTTTGGCCACTGGTGTGGTACCTTCGTTGATGTATTGGTGATTCTCTTTGTTAAAACGAACCCGCCGTATAGATTTCGTATCTTCTAAAAGTTAGCGTGGACATTTGAGCAAAGTATTTCTTCATATGTCGTCCTGCAGCAAATATTGAAAATACCAACGTGCATATATACTTATTAAATGTGTACCTAATTACTTATTAATGTGCATTAATATATGGGCTCATACAAGCGCTACTCGCGAGACATTTATACACTTATATCTGTAGAAATATATGTTTACAAGTGTGAATTTGCTTATATATATGTTCCCTGTGTAGTCAAGTAGCTATAGTAAATCATGTGCCCATAAAGAACCCTGTTATTTTCCTGTTCAGACGCACGTTTTGTGAAATAAGTGTTATTTGTTCTATACATATTGTGACCGATAAAAAAAACTCTAGGTATGTGCATAGATACATCAGCTAGTCGTGATCTTGTCCTTAGACGCCACAAGCTAATCTAAAAAATAAGTTAATTATTATTAATTAGTAGGCTAATTTGAAGTTACCGATAAAGCATGCTTCCGTTTTGGACGCCAGCTGTACTATGCAGTATAACTTAGATAGGTCAAGTTTGCAAACGGATACTTAATACGCTTCGAAAGTTTAATTTGCATATGTCTCTAGTATAGGGTTCCGCAAATGGTCAGCTCGGTGTTTTGAAACTAACTGAGAACTCGGAAGGATCCATTCAAGGAGGACTACCTATATAGGACCATTTAATAAATTCACACTAGAAAATATACGTTGAATGAATTCGCCACGTCTCCTATGGGGTTGCTGACGTACTTTGATCGGTATCTATAGTCTTAGGTATATACGTACAATGCAACACGTAAATCTGATTGGCACGATGCGCAAACAGCGGAACCTTTGATTTTTTTTTCTTTCTATTTAATCACACTTGTCACACAGCGCGTGTCGCCATAATAGGGATATGTATAGAAACTATAAGGCCTTAACTGCACCATTTGGCTTACGAGGGAAGCACAGAGGAATCGATTCGGCGATCTTCATCTAATTTAAAATTTCAGTTCAATGCACGTTTAGGGAATAGTTTAGCACTAGATGGTTAGGTACCTTTTCTAACGCTTTGTTATAGCACAGGATCTATTACCCGTGTTTTGTCTTGTCTCTCTGTCAGCCATAGGTAATCCAATCACTGTGCTTTTCAATAAAGACGTAGTGAGCCAATATCACACTTCTAGCAAAGTGAAGTTACCTCACTAATCTGGGTACGATTATGTAGCATTATGTAGCTAACCTCGCAAGCACTTCGGATCGTGCTTTCTACAAAGGCGAAGTGATATGTTCTTACGGGTTTAGCAGAGTGAATCTCATATATAAAACACATCGTATAGGTTCTATAGGGTCTTAAATTTTAACCAGAACTGCATCTCCATTAAGGCTGAACTACGTCCTCCCTGTTTCTCACTGTAACTGCCATGTACGTCTAACGTCGACCTCCGATGCGATGCGTCGCATTTCGAGCTAGAGGAATCAAATTATCCACCTTCCCTTAGACACTAGAGCGAATGACTCCTATAAACTCACTGGGACCAATGCGTCCGTGTGCGAGGGCGTTTGTTTTACTGCCCATTGAGATTAATGTTTCTGCAAGGTCAGATACTCAGACAGTGAGCTTCCGATTGGATAGGTGGAAGGTGGGGCTAGTTTAAACAAGAGTACCTTCATAATTGCAGTTCGCGCAAAAAGTTAACACAACTGAAAGAAACTAGACGGGTCGATTTGACTGCATATCTAAGTGGAATCTTATCCAGTAAATTCCTCTGATTGACTTGCTCGTACGTTGAATCACCTCGTTGTACCTTCATTACAGACAGTAAATACCTATCCATTAAATAAACATAAATCCAGCTTTCTAGTCAGCCTACTTCGAAATGTTTTTTCGACTGGTAGAAATAAGATGGCCTGCTAAAGCAGTTCTATAAAACTGATATACACATGTACAGGTTGTGTCATCGCTGGATAGGTACACCAACAATCGATATTCTGAAACTGCCAAGCACATTGAATGGCTAAAAACCAAAGGCCTTGCACTCGTGTAAAATGCACAGTATCGAGGCTGCAAAGATGCCTAACACTCAGGTGCAGAACAGACTGAAGCTTGTTTACAAGCGAACTGGTGAATGTTCAGTTGGACAGCATGTACGTACTTGATCAGGCGAAATTATCATTATTGAGATTAGACCGTATCAATTGTGTTTTGGTTAATCGCTGCTATGATAAGGTAAATTATGTACCCTGCTTTCTTATGAGTTTTCGACTTGTGGGCATGAGTGTGCGCCTATGTAAATAACGCTAACAGTGATGGAAAAAGCCCCATGAGTTCGCTTCGCCCAAATCACTACCGCATCGAATAGCTTTAGCAGCTCGGCCGCTGGCAAGTTGTGTGTACACGCCATGTATCAGTATACAATTATATGACGACAATACCCCTTACGTCCCCATCGTTAAACCTTTTTCTGAGGAGTGACGCTCCTGATAAGTAAACGGTGCAATGCAGAGCTTGGCTGGGGCCATGACACTTCGCCAGTGTCTAGAGGACTAACATGCAGCCGGCCGTGATATGCCTTATTTTATTATAAACACCTAGCGAGTCCTAGTCTCGATAGTGCGGCGACCAAATGACAATTAATGAGTGTTTATGGCAAAATTATTCAGCAGCTCGTATTTTAGCAGTTATTATTTGCACTTAATTATTTAGCAGTTTGTTCGTATGCAGATGCCTAAATCGAACTCAGCGGTTCCCAGTGCTTTAGCTTTGCCCACTGGGAAGGGCGATAACATGCGATGGACTGTCGAGGGTGTGGCACTGTTCAGTGCAACGGAACGATGGTCGGTGCAAGCGAAACTAAACGATTACATCAATGACAACGGCAATAGCAACGATGACGTCCAGTTGGAAACGGTAAAATTCTAGTTAGTAAGTTGAGTTACGGTCCTACATGAGGACGATCATTGGCACAATGAATATATCAGCTAGGCCATGCTAATATGATAATAAATTCCCGTTTGGTATGTTAATAAGATGAGAAGAACCGTCGATGGTTATGTGAGGGTTAAGATGTACACCGCACATAACACTGTATGTAGATCAAATGTAGCCCATTAGACATGTTTGGGCGGGACAACTTAAGGCCTGGGCCTCAGACTGATTTGCGCTGCAGGTAACTATTATCCGCATCTTTGGACTCGTTACGTTTTCTAAATTATAATAATTTATTAATACACAGGGAAGTGTTAACGTTACATTTCGCCCAGTTTTCCTAATGGCCATATACGACAATTGTAGTGTTAGTTAGTAATTATATAGTTTGTTGTTAAATAGCGCCTCATATACATAATGCCTAATACAAAAACGTTGCTAGCTATTCAAATGGGATAGAAGCTGTCGTAACGTACAGAATTTCGTTATCTGAGCTCGGTTCAAGCGGGGCGCCGAACACATCCCTCAATAGGAAGTATACGTTACATTACTGCTATACTAGCGAAGGATACCTGACTGATGGCAAATCCTTGCCTACTGCAGCAGTCTAATGACTATTGTAGAAGTACTTTTGGCGTTATTTCGCCCAAGAAGGCTGCTACAAAATAGTGCTAAGGAGCTCCTCGAAAGCGCTATGGAAGTCCGTCCCGCGACGAGCCGGTTTATCGCTATCGAAGCCAATCAACAACGTTCATGAGAAACTACTAAGGTGTACAACGAATGCGTCACGTTCTCTACATGCATGCATGGCTTGCGGTACTGTTTGTGTGAAAATTTTCTCGCACTACCCTACCGTGTCGCTAACTGACCATGTTGAATGAATTATATATTCATTCAGATAGAGGAGCATCGTCTGCCGACGCTTGACGCCATATCTGATATGAAACAAGCGGCCGCCATGTTGGCAAATTGACGGCGTGGCGGCTACAGATCTGCACAGGGTATGTGGCCTGATTGCCTAGTCATCTAACGGCCTGCAATAGACTAGCAAGGCACCCTTTTCGTCCGTGTGTCCTAAATATATAACGAAAACGAAGCTTGTTTCTCTAATTCTTTTACCTCGCAATATATGCCTAATGCCAAAATCCGTCGTACCACATAACGCACAAGTGTGGAAGCGTCGATATAGGTATAATTTCGTATTGATGACTCGGTAGTATTGCCATTAGTATAATTAATATCAAGAGCAGCAGCAGCAGCAGCAGCAGCAATGCGTGGTGATTCATGGCTCGTACGATCCAGCAGTATGAGCAGGAAATGCAAAGGGAGACGAAAAGTCTATGAGGTCTATCAGTGATATCCCAGTTCCAGGGGGCCGAACACTGGCAATGGCAGACCGGATCGTCGGGGTTCCGATCAGGCGCCTGGAACCATTGAGCATCAGACGCTGTCCACCTGTTGACAGGAGGCAGGCCTGACCAAAAAATAAACGACGATTATATTATATTGACTGTTTCGGTTTATAACGTTAGTATATTATATTGCGATTTATATTTGGTGCATTAGTTACCATGATTAATATGCTGTTTGTCCATGCAGAAGTGCAGGGCAACTGCACGAGATGCTCCTTCGAAGAAGATACAAAAAAAGGAAGCAAACTGTTTTCGCAGCAAACGCTACACTTACGAACCTGATGGAGCTTTTCTACGTACGACTTAAGCATTCAAAGCAAAATGACGCTGAAATTAATACAGTTGTGTGAATATATATAGAAAATCGCCCGGTCATTCAGCAATGTGCTCTGCGCAGGGCTATGTACATATATCTTAGCTTTGAAATCGTCTTAGTGTCCGTCAGTCGGTCCTCCGAAGCCGTGTATCAAGGGTGTACGGATGCTGTACACGGTGCCAGTGTGTCGTTGTCGACGTCTCTCCCTTAAATCCCTTAGCTGGAGGCATTCAGCTATTGGCTGGCCATTCGCCGGTTAAGGGTTGGATGCTGTGGGCCGCAGTAGTGAGCCGTAATCTTCCGCCAATCTGGCTGCACATCCCCTGAGTCCAACCTGCCATCCAACTCTTGAGCTGACGAGAGAAAATCGTCTAAGCGACTTAGCAAGCCTGACAGACGCAACATGTCTGCAGAGCTCTAGCAACTGGTATTGCGTCAAAGTCGTGACCGACTCTGGGGATTCCACGAGACGTTGAACCGCTGTTGACTCACTATCTCGGCAGCGTAATGTATCTGGGATTCTAATGAGAGAATCAGAAAGCCAACGAAAATAATCATGTGCGACACACATCAGTGCGTACCGCCGGGTATTTATCATCTATCGCATTGGCTAGAACGAGTCTTTTATCGTTATTTGATAATGGTTTCTTTAATAGATAAAAAGTATATGCATTTGAAATCGAAAATACCTGAATGAAGACAAGGCTACAATTAAAAGTTTAGCATCGAAGGTGTATCTCCTGAACAAAATCTGCTTGTTACCTGCCATAAGGCTTCTAGTCCCTGGTTATTATATTGGACAGATCCCTAGCTTTTTAAAAATTGGGTAAGGCTCTTACTAAACTGTGAAGATATAATTTCGAGTTAACATTAATACGCGTTTGACTTATATTTTAGTATTTTTTTAGTGGGTAAATAAAACCGTTACTTGGTCTTACTACAGTTTATCCTTGTCCTATGATTTTCCGTGTAGGAACAGGGCGATAATTGGGAAAACTACACTCAGCATAGGCACTCGTTATCATCACTCAAAATCCCATTTTGCAGTAAATATGTATATATTAGTTTACTTCGTTTGTTTAACTTCATAGCTTGTAGAAGTCCTATGGGGACTATTAGTGTCCTTGTCGGCAGTCGTCAGCGCAGCGACTTCAGCGCACCGCAGTTGCTTAGGCCAATCATTTATACAGAATTCATATCTACGCACGATACGCAGTAAAGCGTCAGATCATGCGCGACGGTGTCGTCTGTGTGTATTTATGCTTTTGTGTGTTTCTTAGAGAGACGCACGTTGGTTTGTGGTAGCGTTTTTGTTAATCGTAGTCGACTGCATCCCGCTTGACCTTGCCACAAACCCACAATGAGACGACTAACAAATTAACAGAGCTTAAATTATAGTTTTCATCATCATAGGCCTCCGAAGCACCCAAATACATTAACGGACAATTACATACGCCACATATATACATACACATATGCAGTATACACGCCCAACGGCGAGGACAAAGCAAGTACGAAGTGCGCGAAGAAGTGCAAAGAGCGACATCTTCGCATTTTTAAATAATACTGGTAAAGTAACAACTAAGTGAAATAGCAAATAAGCGTTCCCAACGTCAACAAACCAGCCAGCCAGCTTATACTTCGAATAAATCACACCTTTCGTAGCGAGTAGCCGAGATGACCTCCCTGACAAGCAATAAGCCCCCTCACTATACAATGGCGCACTTGGCGTTTCACCACGCCGTATTCATGCTTCTGCTGGTATTGTCCTAACGCTTGTTATAGACGGTGCGTGATATCGCTATGCGTGATCCGTTCATCCGACTACTAGGCTCCATAAGCTACACTATATACGTACGTATTTCGGCCTGTTGTTGCTGTTTTTTGTGTGCGTATAATTGCGTAACCACTGGAAAGACGACCAGTTCAGGCGGGATTCGCATTACTTCGGCCAGCACCGCCAGCAACAGGAGAAGCATCATCTGAATGGAGTTTCTGCTTTCAGCAAAACCACCCCCACGATATGGGACGACAACATAGGCTCGCTGGTTCGTCTGGTGAAGGCCGTCAGCAAACGGCAATATGAGACCTCACATCACTTCGTATCGCTCACCGCTATAAAGGCATAGCAGATACATGCTTAATAATATTTTGCTTCTTTATTATGACTAATAGTTAGTTTACTTGCGAACTGACGGTAGCAAAAAATGCTTTCGGCACAAAGATGGCGTTCAGTCAGCACACATACCTAGTTGTTATGTCCTCTTTACTAGCTTCGATAGTTAGGACACGAAGTATTACTAGCAAGGAAATTTGAATCGTACATAACACTTACAATCACTGGCACGGGACAAATCCTATCGCTACATATTCATTCACTTCTTGTAGACAGCAGTACCGGGTTTCAGCGATATTGATTTACGTGTCGTCCGTCAGTTTGACGTGCCGTAAGTTCAGATGGGCACGGCGATTGTTCCGAAGAATTACGCGGGGGTGAAATTGCTGCTGGTGGATCAGCCTGTTGTAAATAAGCCAATTAAAGGTACTGTGGCGGGGTGAAAAATGCAGAAAAACATCACAGAAAATAGCGCAGGCACAGCTGGTATTCGAATAAAAAGAAATCCCAAATTAACACACGATTGTAGTTATGATTTATGTTAGAGTGAACGTTTTAAATGATGCAGCATTCATTGAAATTATTTTTCGTGTCTGCAGAAATACACACCCAATGATTAATATATAGGAAATAAGATAAACCGTTATGGAAACGGGCGGTGTCCTGTAAAGTGTAAATGTGACCTTGTGTTGTCGAGACCGCTGCTCGTTGTACGGGTAGTCTTTCAAAAAGTCCTTCAGTCCTGATAGACGAATCAGGTTCGAGCTAACGCGCAAAGCAGGCGTCACATCATTGACTCACAGAAAAGAGGGAAATGGGCTGTCACGCCCAGTACGTAGTAATTAACTGTCCATAGACTATTAATCCTTCAACTCCATCGCCTTGTTATCGTATATCATCGCGCATAAAGCTAACGTGAGCAGAAGAATATTTTTAACGATTTGCTGGTGAAACTAACATTTGAATACAAATAAACGAGTGAATGAGTCAAAGGGTGTACTTATGAGTACTACGCATTGTATAACCCGCTGGGTCCGATAAGTGGGGAAGAACGCCTGGTCGAAGATGACACATGGATTGCAGATAAGTGTGGGCTTTTCGCATAAACACTATTATTACCGCTAAGGATTACTACATTGAGCATTGAGGCTTGTCCAAGTTTAACGCTAGCCCGGTGTTTGTAACTGTGTGAAAATGCTAATGCATCAAAGAAAAATGGGTGCGACCATATATCACAGATCACAGCAAATAGTAAAGACTCTTTTGTAGGAACTCAAGAATATGTAGTATTAGTACAAATGTAAGCTTTCCAATCAGAATACGGAGTAACAATTATAGATTAAATTTCCGCTCTTCCTTAGAAAAATCATCATTAGTGGTAGTGCTCTAAGAGAACTGCACGTATGCCATAATTTAAACAATATTAGACTGTAATAATTTTCATTTATTATGTGCATAAAATTTCGAATTGAGGATTCCGTTCACGTACGCCAATAGGACGCTATCGTGCGTGCACTTCCGCTGACGTTCCAACTGCTCTATAACGTTCGATGACGGCTGACTGCCACCATGTATGCCAAGTGCGGCTGGCCTTAGACGAATCAGTAGCGACTAATTATAATAAAGTATCAGATAGAACATGTTCAATAAGTTTTTCTATTTATTAACAAAAGTCGTATTTTTCGAAATTCGTTACTACTGCAGCTCCACGATCACTCCTATATTACGGTGGTGCTAGATACTGAATGCGATTATAATGCAGACTACCATTTTTGCCTCTTGGAAGGTACTCATGTTCTGTCATTGCCGGTTAAAAACGGCATGCTATAGGACATAACAAAATGCCGCCCGCAGTCAACGGGAGTAGTAATGCAAATATGTTGTTGGGTTATTCGTCAAGATTTTTTTTCAGGACAAACTGCTGAATCAAATAGGACAGAAAAGGGTTTATTTGGCCTGTTCGCATAGTATACATTCACATAATGCCTACGAACGTACAGCCCGATTCATTGACAAGGCCTTCGCGTTAGTTCTAGAGATACGGTTAACGCAATCGTGTATTACAATCAGTACAACAAAGAAATCTCTTCGTTTAAGAAAGTGGGAAGAATAAATGTTTGGTTCTGTCCGTCAGTCATTAATTAAGCGAACTAGCTAAAGTTATTACTTACGCATTTGACTGATGGGGTATCGGTTCTATGAGGCAGCTATCGGATCGCTTGCTTTGATTCCAGCCTTAATAAGCAAGCTTGACATGTCGTGCATAAATTTCTACAGATATCTATATAATCATAATATCAATAGATATATACACCAGGGGAAGGTGTTACGGATGTTGTGATACGAAAGAATATGCTGGTCGGATGAGAACGTCATTCAGCCCTTTCCGCAGGACGGACTCAGGGATTCAGTAGGGACTCAGCAAATAATGATCATCAACAAGCAATGCCGCCAGCCAAATCGAGATCAAACATGGCTGCGTCTTCGGTGGCAAGCTGTTTAAATAAGCACCTGTCGTATATTTTATTTAATGACTCGTAGCAATTGGTGAAATAACGATACAGATAAAATAACACTTGCGACGATGGCAGCTTGCTAATTTATAGATGGTGAAACACACTTTGAATAGAATTTACCATGTTTGGCTGATTACCAGGGCTGTGCAATTATCCCGTCATGAAGACAATTTTTCTATAAAGTCGTAAGGACAAATCTATATTAGGTGCCTCTTAAGCCGATCGCCATTAAAGCAAAGTCATGTTCGATGGGCGACTGTGCACAGCACAGGGGTACTCCATAAGAATAAACCATTTGGCTGGTACATTGCCCGCTGGCTGCAGCTATAACGATCGTAGCAAGCCACCAGAACCCCGCTGAGTGACGTTATTCTTTCCTGTTCGAAGGCTAAGTCTGCAACACTTCGAACTCTTTTTTCGAATAGGCCTGCTTCACTAGCACGTTAACGGACGTACTTACAATTATAACTGAGAACTATTACTGCTACTGAAAACAACAGTTGGGCCGCCCCAATTAGATGAGCACCAGTGCCACTGTCGGCGAATAACACTGTCTCAGGCGAAAAGCCGTTTTTGGGTTAACGCTTAACCTGTGCAACCCCAGGCAGTCGACTGTCTTTTCGATTCTGTCTGCCAAAATCGCGAGATCTGCAGATGCGCGCATCTCTGGAGACAAAAAAGACTGAGATGCTAGTCGTGTGGGAGTGGGTCGCATCGGGCACTTTCGCTTTTGATAGATTCAGGGTTCAAATTAATCTCATAGGTATATCAAGTTTTCGATATAACCGCAGATACCAAATAGAACTTCACGGATCCTTACACGGGAATTTCATTCCATATAGAATGACAAACATGCATATATGCGCTCGTTCTGTGTGCTGGTTTTCCCTTTCAGGTTACCCCCTCTGCCTTCGGTTATTGTTCTTTTGGTGACCATAACGATTAAGCACAGATGGCTAGCCTACAATTGTCATGCGCATGGAGTTCGATTGGAAACCTATTGCTGCAAGTATTTAGGCCTGCTGTCTAATTTTTTGAAACAGGACGCTTACAGTTAGAATAAGAGTGCGCTTCGCTAGCACAGATTGCTTATAGGGGTGTTTTCCGCACCTCCGGAGTACCACAGCTCCATTTCAATGAAAGAGAAGGAAATAGGGAATGAGTTCTAAAGCCGCTATGCGGTTTTGCAGCATTTCAACGAATCGCGCTTCCGCTTTTCGGACCATCGGTAACTTTTGAACAGTGTAAATAAAGTATATTTTCAACCAGAGTAATCAGGCGGGCTTAGTTTTTTTTAAAGCTCCCATTCTTATGAACCTAATCATTGTGAAGCATTAGTTTGTCACGCAGGCTCGCCTGACCGACTGGGTTAGCGGTGTTCTTTTTTCACACCCATCACGTTCATCTGTGTTAGTTATCACCTCAGTCCAGCTAATAGGCCCACGATATAGTCAGAGGGGTATTTTTGCTGAGCAACTCCCCCACAAACAAATAATATATATATATATATATATATTTTCAGGGCTCAGATCACAATTTCCCGCCTACGGAAGTTTAACTACTAAGCAATCGGCAATTACTACAATAGCGACACATCCGCCAATCCTGTCAGAATACGTGGCAATTGTGGAGTACAAACTTCAACAAAATGTCCTGCTCTTTGCCTTTACCATTAGTTAACTTAAATGTTTATCTCTTTGACGATTATATAGTACACTTCGGTTCGTTTTCCTCAGAGCGATATCTACGTTGTTGTCTTAACGCGCCCTCTATGGGTAGACGCACATTTCACGCAGCTCGGCGTTTGGCGTATATCCAGACATGCTCGCTTAAAATGTCTTTTTAAGGACATGTTTTATTCTCAAATTTATTTCGTCTTACTTTCCTTGGCCATTTTGAGCTTTTTTTCATCTGACGATGTCGGCACGTACGGCCAGCCAAAAATGTGACGATCTGACGGAAATGAAGATAATACCCACTAACATTTATCGCGCAAGATGCCGCAACTATAGAGAAATAAATATTCAACGAGCTAATTGTCTCGCGGCCAGGATACTCCGCCTAATCCATACATGCACGCGCACGGTCAAATGCACACACACCTGCAGAGGTGACGTGCACAATGAAGTTGGAAACAAAGACAATGCGCATATCACTCATCGTTTCCTTCGATGTATCTATATATATATATATATATATACATATATATATATATATATATATACATATATATATATATATATACATATATATATATATATGGGTGTTTCTATAAATATTTATGTAGGGTATACCAGCGGAATGGACGCCGAAAAGCCGGTGAAGCGCATATAGAAGAGAGCTTTCTTTCAAGCTGGGTCGTCTTGATGTTCAAAATGGCATCATTCGATGCTATACGATAGTTCAGATGAATGTCACCTTAGATGGATGATGCAAAGCGCTAAGATCACCGATGCTCTTCTGTCAAATTATCCTTTCCATGTAGTACGTCGTTCTATACTGCCCACGTGCGGTTGGCTATGACAGCCAAGCATCAAAAGCCACGTTCGTAATATGAAAACAATATGGAGAAATCTATTATAGAAATAATAACGTATTGTAATAGCAAAATGGCCATATTGTAAATGGCGAGACTGAACGAAATGGGGTGAACACATATCTAGGCGACCATAGTCCAACCGGAGACGGCAAGGTTCGGAAGTCTTCCAAATACAGATCTTGCCAAGCATTTCTACGTACAATGAGTACCCCGCACCCAGGAGCTGGACCTAAATGCCAGTGCAGCATATCGTCAGCCGCAAACGAAGTGTAGTTAAATTCAAATAGGGTTGCTTTGTTCTACTGCACAGTCATCGGTACCGGTTTGTGGTGCAGTATTAAATATAGATAATGACTTTGGCAGTTCGTGCCTCCATAAAAGAAGTTGCCTTATCTAAGCTGTGCGTACGCGTTACGTAATGCAGATATGATAACATAAGTAACAATTAAACGAAGTGATATTCTAGAAAGTTGCATGAAACGGCTTTGTCAATCCGTTTATCCCGGGAAAACTCCCGGGACGACATTTTCTTAGCGAATCGTCTTATAACTTATACAACCCAGCTACTAGACAACGACACTGAGACGATATCCGATCCCGTTTTTGCTTCTATACTCGACCAACTGTATAACCAGCTCAATGACTCTTAGAAAACGCTAACTTATACTAGATGTTATTAATAATAACAGACGCTGCATTCACAACTTGATTTACAAAGAGTCTAAATACAAAAGATTTTCTAGACGACTTGCAAATTCTACGGAGAAATACATCGTTTCTTCTTCGAATAGAACCCGTGTTCAGAACCGTGTTTGTTTGCCTAATAGAAATCGTTTGAGCTTCAGCACGTGCCGTTGCCGGCAAAGGGCTAGATGGTGATATTCATTAAAGTGAACTTGCATTTTTGATTTTCGGTGTTTTATATTTGTTCGGACGTAATTTCCGTGACGTTTACAGATCGTCAAAAATAATCTACTGGAAAATTATATTCTCATTTACGAGGGAAGCACGGATGGTCAGCCTCCTCCGTACGTTGCCACCCGCAAGTATTACCTTGCTTTAGTTTTAATTTCAGCAGTTGTCCTTGTTTGCTACCCCGTCATTACCATTACTTTTAAAATCATCCACACGCGTCAGATTCGCAATGGCGGTTTTTTCTGCCAGCATAGAAAACGACATTAGCGACAGCTAATGCTCGAGCCTCGTACTCTTCTTTCCGCTCTGCCTCACGCCTTTTTCACGTATATACCAGTAGCAGCTGTACGCCTCCTAGAAGAACCAAGATCACTTGGAAACCATTTGATTATCCTTACACATTCTACTACTACTACTACTACTACTACTACCACTATTATTATTGTCGTTGTTGATTATTAGGTACGATATTGGCGCTCTATTTTAGCTAAAGGTTTCATTTTCCTATTATAACTGGCAGGTCTGATGAACGAAACGGAAAAACTGTGACGAAGGAAAACACTGCTGTCTTCACTAGACAGCATACTGATCCACGATAACTAATCTAGCCTTACCATATTGAGTGTGGCATCGGTACTGTGAGCTTGAGTTGAAGAATACCCAGCCCTGTCAGTATGCCCCGTGTGTGGCTTGGCGGTTACGATTGCCTGGGTGGTGTCCATCCTGATTGTCCGCGTATGTTGATACATGTACATTTATATCCATGCTGGAACAGCAGCAGTAAAAGCAGCGATATTTCCCAACGGTTAGGAGAACGAGTTAATAACGTACCAGTTAAGATATATTATTAAAAAATTGTACTATTACACAAGCCGGCCTGTCGAACGAGCAGAGTATAGAGCACACAACTAACTCCATGGCAATCGTATGAAAAGCCGCAGAGCGGCCCATGCTACAAAAACCAACGAAAAACTTAAAGGGACAGAATACAGAACAACTGGATAAATATAAGTAAACAGACACAAAAAGAAGAATAATTAAAGAGAATCACGTTATTATAGTATCGTCTTATGTTTCTGCTAATGGAAAAATGTGCAAAGGTCGTTATGAACGATAGACGGACAAACATAACACGATGGGATGACCGTGGCAGAAAGAATAGGGCGCGACATCGTTGTCAGGCTTTGATTAAACCAGCGTAGGACCAACGCTTGCGACGCTTGCGATTCGCTGTCTTGTCCTGACAAGACAGCGAATCGCAAGCGTGAATAGAAATGGGAATAGCAAAGATAGTACATCGGAATTAAAAAGAAGAATTATTCTTCTGTTTCATATACTTGGAAAAATATAACGGAATCACTATGTCTACCGTCGAATGAGGGAAACCACTAGGCCAATTCAGTCTTGCCTTTTCAATTGATTTTCCAATGTTAGTAAATTGGATCTTCTGACTGCGTAACCGAATCGTGTTAGAGTGTGAAGTATAAATGTGTATTCTGTTTATGATGCTATGAAAAACTTTAAAAAAAGTTTACTGTGTATGATTTTTTTTTAGCCAACTGAAAATAACACGTACTTATTATGGGACTATCATAGGCTCTTTCGCTAACAGGACTTATCTGTTGTTATAGTACAACTCTACGGGATCATACTAGGTGAAAGCGTTTTCCCCGATCCTGATTGCTAACTTTAGTTAGTTAAATTAAGGCTTAAGGAAAATCGCGGATAGCAGCAATGTCGGGGTGAGGCCGAAAAATCTAATGTCGTGACAAAATAGAACCTTTGACTACTTGCGAGAATTCAGCCGTCCGAAACTCGGTGCCGTGAGTTAGAATATTGTCTTTTGCAACTATAAAAGGCAGAATCAGTAAAAGCAGATGGATTATATGGTGTCGTAATAACCCTTTATGGTGTCATCGATGTTGTCGCACGAATCTCTATTATTCAGTAGAGGGCGTGCATGTGTGCCTATCTGCTGACAACCGATACACCCTTTTCCGCCAGGTAATGTGACGACACTATCAGATCTTAGCAGTTTGTCTCTTCCCATTTAGCCATAGCTGGGTGCTCGTGGTCTTTCTCTCCATGGATGCTGCCCATAAATACCCAGCCCATGTACCTGTGAAAGGAGAGTCACGTGTGATTCTGACGACACTCAGAGGGTAGTTTCAAGAAGAGTTATGTTTACATCTTCGAAGAATCGTTCGACTGTCGATTGTCAAATGGTGCAGGCTGACGCTTTGACGTTTTCATAGTGAGGTTCACTCTTTTAACGAATCGGATCGGCACACTGAAGCACTTTGAAAACTGTTTATTCCTTCCCTCTCTAACCAATTACTTAAACAGGATTTGTAAACTCTGTTACGCTACTGGTGATGTCGTTATTATATAACTAAGTAATTGGTGAGGCGGCAGAGAACAACTCGCATATTTAAATAGGACAACGTAGTTAGATGTTGAAGAGCAGTACCCAAATTGCTCCAATCACTATGGGTGACTAGCCATAAAAAGCTTCTATGAGATCTACCTGGAAGCTGGCTGTGTAAACAGAAACAGAGCATAAATAATTGGCATTTTCTAAAGAAAATTAAACTAAAAAAACTGTCAATGAATTATCGCGGGCCGGTTGTAATATCGTCGCCACCAGCTACGGCGCGCATAAACGAAGCTAAAAAAAAATATATATATATATATATATACGCGTAGACGGAAGCAGATCAACTAATATTAAGAGGAAAACCGATCTTTATGATATCTATTTTGTTCCAATAAGAATTTTGCCTTTCATTTGAAGGGGGTCAATAAACCCTACCTTCGCCGGGACCCCGTCTCATATTTATGGCTACATAATGGTTTTATAAAGGTCGTTCGATGGCATAACATCGGACCGTGCAATAACATCTCGAGTCGAATAAGACTCGTTCAATTGCGATTACTATTATTTTATTATCCTGCCGGCAATTTATGTCAGGAGATGAGTTATAAACAGTGGCGTTGGGTGAATATGAATATCATCGATAAAAAAAAGTTTACAGCGTCTAGACAGCCACTGCTCCCCCCGCCTCTTATAGCCCGGACCGTATTACCTTTTTTTCATTTGTACTGGCGTTATCTGAAGTGATAACTCCGTACGACAGTATTATTTAAAGCATTATAGAGAACATTCCGCTCATGTTAGAGTAGTTCTTCTGTTACCTTGTCTCACGGTCATCTGAAAAGTTCTATTTTTTGTTTCCATTATTATTGTTATCAACGGGAGCAGATTCAAACATCAAGGTAAGAATGCACCGAAGCGCCTCACTGTTGGAGGTACCTTTTTGACTCGGTTCTTATCTATCTATTAAATAGTCTCTTAAATAGACCAACGACAGGCGATAACGAGCGAGAAATTTTCCCAATCGCTGGCGACTTTCGTAGATTTAGGCACTCCTTTCTTGAACATTATGCGAAGGCGAAAGTTCTGTCAGAAAAAGAGCGCCTGCAAAAACGACAAATCAGCATCAAGGGCAAAATCGGGCGAAAGTAAGTTTTTCATCGCGTGAGAACAGGCCCAGACAACGTTTACGAGTGTGCGTGACCGAGGTACGTGCCAAACGTGGACGCCAGTTCGATTCTCGTCTGACCGCCACAAACGATGGCTGCAATTGAAACTGCTTGGTATCTCAAGATTAGAGGAAGTAGCTTGGATTTCAAGTTTCTTACCGCTCCCCCTGCTGTTTCGCACTCTCGCTGCTTGTGTGAGAAGTTCGATGTATCAGAATCTCTGGATACATAAACATAATATCATGCTGAACTGGGGCATGCAGAATGCATTGTGCCACATACTGATACTTCTTACGGATTTGGAAGCTTCTCTAAATCTATTACCCGAGTGCCTGTGTCGCATGAGAGGTATTAGCACAATCTTAACTAGTCCAATTGATATTAGAAGTTGTTTTCTGTAGAACCAAGTTAATTTTACAAGTTTGTTAAAGAAAGACTTGTAGCTAGAAGTAAAGTTTGAGTGGATCTGTATGTTTACAGGCAAATTTCGACCCGTTTACACGTTAGCCTCGATTATAAATAAAAAGTTGGTTTATCTTCCGAGTTCTATGCGGGGCAAATGCTTTTAATGAATTGTTGCCTATCACTGATATTTCCGGTTCGTCTTTGTGAATCTCGACGTTTGCTTGATGTTCGTCCGCGCTCACTTACAGTTTTTGAGTAAACTTTTTTAGAGATGTTACGGGTGTGAACTTATTCCGAAGTTATCGCACAACAACTTCCTTGCTAGATTATTAAAGTTCAATAGAAACAGTTCGATGACGACTGTATAGGTTAATTGAATGTCTGTCGACTAGACGGCGTAGGCATGATTGGGCCAAAAGCTCTTCGAAACCGTCAATAATCCGCTTGCTGTCACCTAATTAAAACGAAGCCCACGACATGGGCGGCTGTGGGCTCACCGCTGACGAGGTGATCGATGCCGTCTTATCTATCCCGACCCAAACGGCATACAATAATATAGTTAACGCTGTCTGAGGCTGAAGAAATAGCCAACAGACGCGCTCTGGGAGAGAACTCACGATGGCGGCGGTTTACTAGTTGAGCTGTTTCTAGCTGGGCTGAGCTGGCCGGCCGGCCGGCTGGCTGGCTGGCTGGCTGGTGCTAACGCCTCTCACTAGCAGCAGGCAGTAAACGTCACGCGAACGTCATCTGTTCCATACGACCACAAACCACAGCGTAAAGAGCAAAAGCGACGATTGCTACAGAAAGCTTGTATGTCTGTGAGTATCGGAATGCCTGCAAACGACAAAAACAGTATGGCCATCACTATACAAGCCTTTCTCGCTGACTGGTAGTAGTCTAGTAGGTTTGCTTTTGCTAGCTTTAATCCTTGACCATCAAATCCCGTCTGTAACAATCGTTGCGGTAGCACAATCACCTGAACACTTAGCTTTGCCTGCTTCGCTGTTATGGGAAGAAAAGCTAACCATAGTGAAATCAAGCAATTTCGCGTAGCCTCGTGTCGGCATTGGGGCGCCAGCGTAAGTTTTACAATCTAGCAGCAACCATGACGACCTAACGATCGGTCGAATGACCGTCCAAGGCGAACTCACTCTGTTTGGTGGATCATTCGACATCCGTTTTCGTCACAATCATCGTCATTGTCATCATCACCCGATTCGTTGTTTTGTGGAGTGATCATGACGGCAGCGCTCGTGACGAGGAGGAACTGGTACGACGACAACATGCGTTCTAAAAAGGGAATATGTGAACGTTTCAAAGGTCGAGGGAGGCAGGCAGGCAAAGCTTTCGTGCACGTACATACCTTCAGTAAAACCGATTGACAGTATATACAAGCGTCAGCGATAGCACATATCGCTTAACATCTTCAGAGTGCATAAAAGCTAACCGGTTAGCAGGCCAATCTCAAATATCAATCGTTCTTTTCCATGGCCGACAGGCTCGTCAAAAACTATCGTTAAACAAGTGATCCCCAGTTGCCCCATTCTGTCTCTTCCTTCTCCTTCTCAAAGACAAATCACATCAAATAACTTTATAAATACTCGCACATCCCATAGGAACAGATGGAGGTGGACTTGAAAGCCATAACATCGTTAGGCTTCTTTTGCGGTGCATTTGAGACCACAGCTGATTCGTATAGGGTACCGAAGTTTGTTGCGCGGAGGGACTCTGTGTCTTCTCTCAGAGACTTTTCGTAGTTTTCGAAGACCCTTTTTACAACTTGCAGACGAGGACGGCCACGTGAGGTAACGG